GCCAATACAACTGGTTCCAGCAATGTCACAGGAGTTGGCAGAACAACACATGCTGCCTTTGGGACTCCAGCTCCGGATTTTGCCTTAAAACTAGTCCAACTTAAAAAGCTTTTTGACATTATTATTACAAACAACAAGTTACAACACTGAATTAGAATTAACTGCTATTATGTGTTTTATTTATTTATTTATTTATTTATTTATTTATTTATTTATTTATTTATTTATTTATTTATTATCGATACCACTCTGAGCGGCTAACACAGAAAAGTATACAATTATAATAACATAAATCCAAAATATCGATTAACAGAACATAATAAAATCATAAATAATAAATAGAAAAGGAAGAAAAAATAATTTAAATTAGCTTAATTTCTTCAGTGTTTGAACAGCAAGTGTATAATCATTCACAATCCTTCTCAAAATAGCTTGTATATGAGATTTGATCAGACTCGGTCTGTGACAACAGTTGTGGAGTGACACCCTTACAAGAAGGCTTTTTACGTTTAAAAAACAGTGAATGCTCAATGAAGGTTTTTATAAATGGAAAGACAGAAAGGAATCAGTGAAGTGAAACATACGGCGTTCAAATATAAAAGTAAAATTGAACTTTAAAGGAAGAAACTAACAGTTAAAAGCCTGATTTAACACTCAGTGGATTAAAATAATGGCTCAACTGTTATACAGCATTAGCAGGAAATAATTAGAAGGAGGGGTGAATAAGAGAAAACTGAATAAATCGAGAAAGATTCTGTTTAGTTTGCTCAAAGCTATCCAGAATTTATGACCCCCATTATCATAGAGAGTTCTGATATTATTCTTTAAAAAAAACATATCTTGTGCTATTTTAAAGACAGACTTAGTCACCCCAATCCCCATATCTATCTGGTTACACTGGTGCAGCGCAAACACCGCAAATGGTGTAACCTTAGGAAGAAAAGTGGTATTTCCAAACTTTTTCATGGATCTTATGCTTTCTTTTCCTTTTTTTAAAGCAGTATTTTCCTGGAAGCCACTTGGCACTTTCCATGAGACCATATTCGACACAAATTCACCCACAAAATGTCATTGTGCCTTATATGCTTCTCTTGTAAATATTACATTATTCAATTAAAATTACTCAAAAGTGGCTTTTCATTCATCCAGAGTTCCCAAAGCAAACCAGCTTTGCACAGACTCTTAGAATTTAATTGGGCAACCTTGGCCCTCTGCACATTTTTAGGACCACAACTCCCCTAATCCCTCACAGTTGAGTATAATGGCTGGAGCTGATGAGAGTTGTAGTCTCTTAACATGTGGAGGGCCACAGGTTGTACACCTGATCTAATGTGATCAAGTAAAAAGATCCGCCCTGATCTAATGTGATCAGATAAAACTCTTGTCTTTCTAATGAGTTGATTTGAGGCATTTATGTCATGTCATCTCAAGATATCTCATGAATTTTTGAAAGCAAGTTGGCATAGGAAACCTCACATTCCAAAATTCCCTTTTTTACACATGTCATAAAACCACAACAGCATTTTCCTTTGTATCTAATTCCCTTACTATGAAAGCCCTTGATATCTCTTGAGTCCTTTCAAAACTTTGAAAACAGAAAAAAAAATAAAGATTTGATTAATCTTCAGGCTTTTTCAATCTTTTTGTTGGGTGACACACAGTTCTTTACAAATGAGTCATTTTTCTTCAAAGGGAAGGTGCTCACACCCTTCTGCATGGTATTCAACTGCCCTTTTCTCTTCCCCAATCACTTCTAGAAGGTCAGCCTTCTGCTCCAAAGAGAATTCTGCCACTCTGCCATACACACAGTTTTCAAATTCTTTCTTCCTCTGAAGAATCAGCCCCTTTATGGCATTTTGGGCACTGTTGCATCCATCTGCTAACTTCCTGCACTCTTCCTCAAAGCTGGGGTTGGAAGGGTCCATGGAGATAAGCCGGCCAAGGCTGCTGATGCTGCCCAGCAGATACTGTGAAGAAATCTCTGTGTAAGTTGAAGAAATCATGTGCACTAAATGAGCCACATTGGAAGCACTGGATGCCTGCTTGTAGATCAGGTCTTTCAAAAAGTCATTGCTGAAGTAGCTGGCAATTTTCTGTACACTTTCAGCTGAACTTACAAATTCAGTGATGCGACAGTTGAGGCAGGACTCAGTGAGGCTGGAGATCATCTGAAAGAAACGTACCATGTTTTCCCATTGCTCTTTCACTTGTTCGAAAGCACTCAGCCCATCAATCAACATCTTCCTGGCTTTTTCAAAATCGATCTCCTTTGTCTCACATTTCCTCATGTGATTGAGTATATCGATCAGCTCCTCGTTCTTCTCTTCCAGATTTTCAATACTTCTCTGGTACTGTTCTTCAGTGGTCAGCAGCAATTCTTGATGATGTGTTAATTTGAAAGTGGCTTTGCTCACTACTCCGAATTCCTGCAATTTATCTTCAAACCATGGTTTGCACTTTTTAGTACTATCTGGGATCATAGGAACCAACATTGCTGCCTGAGCACGTGATTTGCTCTTACGGTCAAAGTGGGCGATTTTTTGCACTACACGTTTAATTTTTTCTTTTAAATCTTTCTTACCAGTGGTCGGCTCCGCAGACACTACTACTTCAGACAGTTTCTGACAAAGATCGATGATGGAATTGCATATTTCCAAGAACACATTCTTCATGCTACAATCTTTTTCTTGGTTAATCTTGTCTCTCAGTTGCTCAGCATTTTCTTTGATCCAAGATGAGTTGACCTTCTTGTCTTTTTCATTGTAAAGGAGATCCATCTTGAGGTTGCCTTCTTCGTCAACGAGCTGATTGAGATTATTTCCTAAAAATATAAGTAGCGGTGCTTGACAGTAGATGTTACACAATGCTATGGGGTCCTCTTCAGTTCTACTGTCAGGCTCATCTTGACTCTTATCTTCAGGTTTATCAGTGTCACACTTGGCACTACTATTGACTTCCTTATCTTCAAGTTTATCAATTTCACACTCGGCACTGCTATTGACTTCCTTATCTTCAGGTGTATCAGTTTCACACTTGGCACTGCTATTGACTTTCGTGTCTTCAGGTTTATCAATTCCACGCTTGGCACTGCTATTGACTTTATTACTTGGACATCTACCAAACATAAGGGTGGCAAAGAAAATATATAGTATACATATGTTTGCTGTCATAGACTCAACAAGTTCCATGCCTACAGCTGCCCATCCCTCAGGAATGTTTTTGACAGCCATTCTGTAATCATCAAAAGTTGCTTCAGTTCTTTCTTTTACACGCTTGCAATACTCCTCTGCCAACTGCTGGGCTTTTTTTGCTTGCATTTCTTTTTCATTTAAGACTTTTAAGATCCTTTCGGTCTCTTCAATTTTTTTCTTATATTCACTTTTGGAATTCAGGCAAGCTTCTAGAACCTCCTGGATCAGATGGATGACCTCACTGAATTTGTTTTCCACCGCCAAAGCCAATGATATGCATTTATCAGCTACAGTTTTGATGTTGTTTAGCTGCCCAGGCAGAAGAGTGGTCACCACTTCGATATCCTGTGACAGAATCTGGATGAGAATTTTCATTTGCTCAGGAATACTCATGGATAAAAGTCTGATCTTGTCCATGTTCTTGTGAGCAGTGCTAAAGGCCTCCCAGCCTGTGTTGCTCACCTGCATTAGAGTTGCGAGGAATGATTCTGGAGAGGTGATGTGTTTGAATCCTCCTCTGCGTGGATTTGTGTTAATGGAGAAGTCTCCCTGGCTCACAGAGATGCGAGCCAGTTCTCCTAAGATGGCAATGGAGAGAGGTCCGGGGATCAAATATGCCTCCCAGTTTGCATAAGGTCTCAGTATCAGCTCTGTCTCCTTCTGGACTTGGTCTGCTAGCTGACAATCCATCCCAGTTTTAGCCACATCGTCCATTTTGTGCCTAAATATTTAAAAAAGCAGTGTAAAATTTCAGATGCAGTTTCTTATAATGTCATTTGGGTGTGAGCCCCACTAAAACAAATATATATATAATCGGGTTCAGGAAATTTCCTTGTACCTGATAAAGGGTGTGGCATTTCCCTCATGTTTTGGGTCCCTGTAATCCTGCTCTGTACCCTCTCCCAATTGTTTTGTAACTTAAAAAGAAAATTCACCACTACAGAGGTGTTTTTTTTGTTTTGTTTTGTTTTGCTCTCCCAATTGTTTTGTAACGTAAAAAGAAAATTCACCACTACAGAGGGTTGTTTTTTTGTTTTTTGTTTTTTGGTAAATGGCAATATACTGTATTCCATATAGGGCTATCTTCCAAGTTTGAATGGCAATATATTCCATATAGGGCTATCTTCCAAGTTTGTTGGGAAACTGTAATTGATGGCAGCTAGGATTCATTTATATACAATTTCTATTAAAATTAGTAAATCTATGTTCCACCCAAATGAATCCCAAGCTGAGGTATTAAATACACAAAATTCAATTTTTTAAATGAAAAGAAGCATTGCTTTTTTTTCTTTTATTTATTTTTATTTATTAAATTTATAACCCACCCATCTAGACCGAAGTCTACTCTGGGCGCCTACTTTGTCTTTGAAAAAGGACATAGTTATTAGGAAATTGCTAGTCTGTGAAATCAAAACAATGCTACAAATCTAGATATCAATGATGTCCCACATCAAATCTGGCAGTACAATTAAAAGCTCCAACATTGCCACCTACAACATCAACGGCTTATTTACTTGTTCCTATACCAATATTATCTACGCCATATTTTGGCAACAATGCCCTCCTGCACTCTACACACGATAGAGGGGACAATAATCTCTGCCCAAAATAATTACTGGACATAAATCTGACATCAGGAGTGGCAATACACAAAAACTGGTTTCAAAACATTTCAATCTCCCTGGACACTCTATAAATAACCTGCAAGGGATTCTAGTGGTGGGACAGCTAAAAAATGAGGAAGCAACTACATTATCATTTATCCCCCATCTTGTCCCCTGGTTTGGACAGTCAGATTCTATTTTGTGACAACTATACAATGCGTATAGAGGGCTCCAGACTCCAGAATGACCTTACATCCTGGAGGGGGAAGAGTCACTCTACTGGGGACCAAGGCACTCCTGGGAACCTACACTGCCCCCCAAAGATTCACCAAAAATACCCTCAAATGGCAAATATACCCCCAACATAGGCCACCTGCAAGTTTTCATTTTATTAAACTGTCTTTAAAAAAGAGAGATATTTTCCTTGCAATTCTTGTTTTTTACCATAGGTTGTGGTTTTTAAAGAAATCAACCAGGGAATAAAATATAAAAAATTAATAATGAACAATCAGTACAATGATTAAGTGCCCTTGTTCTGTTTCATTAACTTATCTGTTACCTAACACACAGAACAATGAATTGCATGTGGAAGTGGGATGGGGGGAATAAAATACTCACTTCTTTGATATGCGACTTCTGCAGTTCAGCGTTCACAGCTTGTTTAACATGTAAGTCTCAAGATGAGTATAAAATTCACAATGACCTTTGCTGCAACAAATGAGTAAGATTTTTTTGTTGAGATCAACCAATTAAGAAGTAAGTTTCACTTTCTGTTGCAGAAATAGATTTCCTGCAAACAGCAATGGAAACAATTTCCTTGAGAAGTGGCCAGTGGAAATTCCAACCCTGGAGACATTCCAGAGACATTAGACACCCACCCGGCAGATATCTTTCGATTTCTATTCCTGCACTGAGCAGGGGAGTTGGACTTGATGGCCTTATAGGGCCCTTCCAAATTCATGATTCTGATTCTAAGCAGTGTTTCAGAGCCGAGAATATACTCTGCTCTCTGTACGAGTTGTCAGGGGTGGCGGGAGGGGACACAGAGATCTTACTTAGGATGGTTACAGCTGGATGCCTCCAACTGAAGAACCAAACAATAGATTCCAGATAGCCATACCAATTTGATTTCACTTATTCATTTACAAACACATTCCAAATCCACCTTATATCAACAGGGCTCCCAGGAGATTGTCTTCAATAAAATCTAATTTTAAAAAAATAATACAGCATAAAAACACTGGACAATTCAACATTTTAATACACTAAAACATTTTGGACAATCTCGTGTTCAGTCATACAGCTGCCAACATGTAGTGGTGTCCACTGTGACAAACACAGTTCCCTAGGGAATGCGTGAATGCTCGGACAGAGAGTAACCAGGAGATTGTACACCCTAAAATGTGCTGAGAGAGTCCCAGAGCTCAGCTAGGCGTGTCAAAGCTCCCTTTTACAAGTCTGCCCTTATAAGAACACCCTTGTACCTTTGAATATTACTGATAGAAAACCATGTGGGCTTTGTAGTCCTTAGACTTCTTATGCACCACAGGCAGGACTCATTAAGTATGCAAGGTCGGGGCAAGCACCATCAGATGACCTATGACACGTTTACTGTTCAGGAAACCAATAGAGTTTTATAATCATTATTTTATTAAAGTAAGCTCCTTAAAGAAAAAGTCAAATTATGCAAAAGCAAACAAATAAACATTATGCTGGTTAATTACAACCTTGTAGTGAGGCAAAGAAAACATGAAAAATATCCAAGTGTCCAAAAACATTAAAAGAATTCAAAAAGTCAAGAAAATGAATAAAAACAGTTCCAATAAGGAAATCCATCAAGAAAACAAAATAGTCCAATTATGTTAGAAAAAGTCCATAGTCCTTGATAATCCTGTAAATGAAAAATACTGTACAAAAGGAAAAATCCTGTAAAAGAAAATATCCCATTGTCCTGAGAATAATCCACAAGAATAGTCCATAGGAGTAGTCCATAAGAATAGTCCATGAAAAGAGTCAAGAATATTCCCTGAGTGCGTCTATGAGTAATCCATGTATGTAGGCCATGGGTGACCTATGAGTAGGTCATGAAAGACTTAAGGGTGGGTCACAAAAGACAATGTCCATAGGTAAAAGTTCCTTTTTCAAGAGTAACTGGTAAGTCCTTATCTGCTCCTTCCCACAATGTCATCCAATCACAGTCCGTCGTTAGGTAAACAGTCCTGTTGTACCACCTGACCTTCTCTTTCATGGGTAACAGATGTTATTTGGGTTTCTGTGGTTTTGCGAAGAGTCACAACAATACCCATCTATCTTATCACAAAGTTCCTTCTCATGCTCTCAGAAAAGCATTCTCCCAGCTCTCACTAGCAAACAACCTATTAGCATTGCAAGGATCCCTTATACAGAGAAACAAGATGGAACCTCTCTTGCACATTTCTTCATTACAAAACCCATGTTCAATACAAGATTTTAATCACACATCCCATCTCATCACATCCACTACTTTCCTCACTCTGATCTTCCACATGTCTGGTCCTTACTCAGGTTGTGAGTAAGGACCAATTGCTCCCACAATTGGTCAGGTCACAGAAAACCTACTTGAGCAGAGAAACAGTTGTACAGTTGCTCTTCTACTCCAAATAGGGTACTGGCCGCGACGAATAAAACCACTTAAGACCAAAAATAAAAGGAGACGGAGACATTGTAGTACAAGCCTGGATTCCTCTGATAACCAAATGCTCAGGTGAACAATCACATTTTTACTGTGGCCCTGAAGCAGAAGTTGGGTTTCGAAAGGGAAGCTGTTCCATAACTGGGCCACTACAGGCTGAATCAGCCCCTCTCCATGTTGTAAAAAAAATAAAGCTTCAAATAGTCAATAATAGGTTTTGGGGAAATCACATGGCAGGAAAAATCAAATATGGCGTTCGACTGGGAAATATAGAAGATGCAAAATTCAGGAAGTGGACATTCAAGATGTATTATACTGCCCGAATATGGTGTTAAGGACGCACTCCAAGTGAGGGCATTTTCCCAACTAGAAACTGCCTTGGCTACTAGCTGGTTCCTATCCTAGCTGAGTCCACACACCGCTGTCTGGACAAGATGACATTGCTTACCCATGGGAACAGTCAAAACCGGCTGTCATGATACTTTTCTTTAAGACAATGTATAAAAACAGAGATTTCCCTCATGTTTAGGAGGACATCTCCAAAACACACAGCCACCTGCTTTTTACAAACAGGAAGAGACATCTCTGCTGGGAAAAATATTGGGTGAGAAATATCTAATGCAATGTGACTTCTTTGAAAATACTTTCCTTATGTTTTGATAGAATTGTTAAATAACATTTATATAACAATAAGAGTTTGTTTTTAAGTGACAATGAGAGTTATCTAAGAAATAGTTTTTTACTACAGTGGTGCCTCGCAAGACGAGTGCTCCGTTTTATGACAAAATCGCAAAAGCGATCGCAAAACGATGTTTCCTATGGGGTTTTTTCGCTTTGCAATGATCGGTTCTCTGCTTTGAGAACCGATTCTCGCAAAACGATGGTTTTCCTACAAATGGCCACCGGGTAAAAAAAATGGCCACCCGCTGTTTTCTGGGACGGATTCCTCGCTGCACGGGCAGCGAAAATGGCTGCGCTATGGAGGATCATCGCTGGACGGTGAGTTTCAAGCCCATAGGAACACATTAATCGGGTATTAATGTGTTTCTATGGGCTTTTTAATTTTGCTTTACGATGTTTTCGTTCTACAGCGATTTTGCTGGAACGAATTAAACATCGTAATGCAAGGCACCACTGTATAGAGAACTTGTTTGCTCTGTATTTTTGAATCAGGCTTCACCTATATGATACCTCAACAAACATTCTTATTTTAATAGAACCAAGGTTTATTTCTTAACATAGATAGAAAAAGCATTATGGACACATATAAACTATCCAACTAACTGCAACAGAGCACGGACAGGGTTCTGAGTCCTGTCCTCTGAAGATGCCGGCCACAGAGACTGGCGAAACATCAGGAAGAACAACCTTCAGAAAACTGCCGAAGAGCCCAAAAAACCCACAACAACAATCTCAAGAAATGTCTCCATCAACACCATAAGAGCTACAAAAAATTCAGTATTAGGAACAGCATAAATACTGTGCTGATATTTAACAGATACTTAGGTTTTTGGTTAAAACTTTATCTGTTATATAATACCGGTCCATGTTTTTATAATTGTGATTGATTGTGTCTGGTATTTTTGAATAATAACAATAATAACTGCAGAGGCACCCTATAGATCATTGAGTCCAGCCTTTGTCAAGGAGACACAGTGGGGAATCAAACTCGCAACCTCTGGCTCCTCAGCTAGATACCTAAACCAGTGAGCTATCCAGCAATTCAAAGCATTATATTTCTGTAATCTTTTCAAACCCCACCACCAATTTGGATGCCTACCTTAACATGATGTGGGACCTGAGTGTGCCTGGAAAGCTGAGGAATACAGGCTTTCAAAGTCTTCCCCTGGGAAAAAGGGAGCCCTAGCAGGCCTTGGCAACTGAAGGGAAATAGAAAGCTTTACATGCATTTAGATCAAATATTATCTTTGCTGGACGATGATTCCTCTGACGATATTCGTCCTAAGAGGACTCTGAACTGTTGTTCCTCCCTTGGATTAAGGTGGCCAATTCCAGGCTTCCGGCCCCAAAGCTGTATAGCTAAAGGTGTTACATGTTTGTACATTACTGATTTGCTGGAATGCACTCTGGTGTAGAGCGCAATATAAATTTAGATCAAATATTATCTTTGCTGGACGATGATTCCTCTGACGATATTCGTCCTAAGAGGACTCTGAACTGTTGTTCCTCCCTTGGATTAAGGTGGCCAATTCCAGGCTTCCGGCCCCAAAGCTGTATAGCTAAAGGTGTTACATGTTTGTACATTACTGATTTGCTGGAATGCACTCTGGTGTAGAGCGCAATATAAATAAATAATGAAATGAAATGATTCTGATGAATAAAATAATGAAATGTATTTATTCTGACGAATAAACTGAACAGGATAATGGCTCTCTGTGGGCTTCAAGTACTGTATAGGACAAGATAACCTCTTCCTCCATACTGACCCAAGAATAATTATGCCCTTGTGAGAAAGAACAGCATGTATTTTTAGAGCCTGAAAACATGTTAGCAAAACTCCTGCTGGGCTCATTTGCCTCTACAAATAAGCAGAGACATCACCTTGCCGACAAAGGTCCACAAAGTCACAGTTATGGTTTTTCCAGTAGCGATGTACGGAAGTGAGAGCTGGACCATAAGGAAGGCTGACCACCAAAGACTTGATGCTTTTGAATCGTGGTGCTGGAGGAGACTCTTGAGAGTCCCCTGGACTGCAAGGAGAACAAACCTATCAATTCTAAAGGAAATCAACCCTGAGTGCTCATTGGAAGGACAGATCCTGAAGCTGAGGCTCCAGTACATTGGCCATCTCATGAGAAGAGAAGACTCCTTGGAAAAGACTTTGATGTTGGGAAAGTGTGAAGGCAAGAGGAGAAGGGGACGACTGAGGACCCATTTCCCCCAGCTGACCGGCGGAAGCTTCCGAAGGACAGCGGGGGAGCCCTCCCCTGCGGTCCTCCCAAAGGCCCCATTTTCAGCCAGCTGATTGGCGGTTCCAAAATGGCCACCCACTG